TTTTCCTTTTCCTTTTCCTTTTCCTTTTCCTTTTCCTTTTCCTTTTCTTTTTTCCAAGTTGTTTACCCTAGATTTACACTCCTAGTCCAGAAAGCAGAGGTTTGGCTACATTATCTCTACTTAAACTATAGCCCAAAACAAGACAAAAGATAAAATATAAAACACTACCCAAAAAACCCTTAGCACTAACTTGTGATCACATCACAATGAGACACATTTGCACATGTTATTTCCTGGCTACCTAGAGTAGTCTTGGAAAAAGAGAAACAGCCTTTTTTTCCCCTTCCAAAAAAAGCAAATCAGAGCATTTAAATTACCATAATAATACAAATTTTGGTCCAGATAAAATTTGAAGGAATAAGGAAGTGTGCCTAGATAAGAATTTCCTTTTCTTTTTTTTGTTTTTACAGAATAGAAAGGTAAAGAAGGATGGATATTTGCCCTTGATGACACTTGAGTGCTTTGACAGTGACATAACACTTCACATACATCTCTATTTTATATATTGAAGAGAGACAGCTCATCAGATACACAAACTATAAATCTAAACTGTAAATTCTTCCTATCCAGATGTCTGTAACACACACCAAAAAAATTATATGAAAAAAAATTATTTCTGTCCTCTTCTGTGCTCTTTGCTTATTAAAATGTAAAATTTGAGACATTTGATTGAGTTGTTAGGTTCTTAACACACTGAATATCTTTTGTTACAACAAAGTGAACTCCCTAAAAATTTTAACTCAAAGCCAACAGGTAAGGTTCAGCTGGAAGGGACTCTGACACCGACTCCCTGTACAACCTTAAGGAAATCTCTTTTTTCTTGTGTTCCTCCACTGAGAGCTATTAGAGTCAATTCATTAATGTGCACAAATGTGATTTAAGACCATCAGACAGAAAATATTAAAGGAAAACCACTGTCATCATAGATTTACATTAAATTATCTTAATAAACTGAATACTATGCTGTCTTTAGTTACAAAGTTAAAAAAAAGGTAGGCAAGCAGAGTCACACTGTCCTATAACTAACATGGCAGGGAGATCTGTGACAGGAGATGTACAGTTTCACAACAACTAAAACTTCAGAGGCTTTCTGCAAAACTACAGGTGAAAGCAATGACATGTTTCATTTAGAGGTTTCCTAATACTGTTTGTCTGGGAAAAAAAAACAACCAAAAACCAGAAGAGAAAGAAGGTAGCAATTACTATTGGGGAAAATATAAAAGATGACTGCTGTGTGTGTGCCAGGCATTGGAGAAAATTACTACTTTGTCTTTACCAGAGAGATGACATTATCCCTACAGCCAAACAGAAGCTACACTGTAAATGCAAAGTTCAGATATATTCAACAAGAAGAGGTGAGAAATCCAACTGGATAGAAACAGAGCCATTCCCAAGTTAATTTGGATAAAGAAGTTTTGCCTACAGTCTAGGCTGCATACAGCAGTTTACCAGTCACTTAGAAGAGGTGGTGGTACCATCCCCATTTTGGAAGCTCTAACAGGTTAGTGATGGGAACCACCCAGGATGACGATGGGAAGCTGAGTGGTCACAAGCACAAGAGAGATAGTTGGCACTGGGCTTTTTGCATGTATTTAAATGAATGATAGCCCTGTGCTGCCAAATGGAGAGACTGTACTTTCCTGTTTGGGAATAGATTCCAGAATTGGAATGGTCTACAATGACCCAGCAGGCATATCCCAAATAAAATGATGGCTTATTGGGTATGTGAGCTTTTCACATTTATGCCTGGATTTCTCTGTATGACTGCTGGCTTGGAGGGAAAGACCCGAAGAGTCAAAAAAAAAAAAAAAAAAAAGGCAGCACAAAAGCCCAAGGGAAATGGGGCAAAACTGTAATGAGAAAAAGGAATAAATAAATGGGAAGTGGTATGTAAGCAGCACTTAAGTCTGTGTGAGGTTAATACCAACCATTTACTCCAAGCTAAATAAATGCTGCCTGGGGACTGAGATTAGAGCAGGCAGCTCAGGGGAGGCAGCAGCTTCTCAAAGCCAGAGCCAGGAGGAAGCTCTGGGAGCTCAGCAGTCTGGTGCACATTTTTGAGCATTAGCCCCATCTGACCAAAGGGAATATGATGTTCACAATAAGGGTGAAAAGTCTCCATGCCCCTACTATGTCTATCTAATGCAGTGCCATCATGCTGCCAGCCTGTGCAGAGATGTAATGTCATTCTGTCATATTACCATCACAGAGTCTCAGAGCAACTGGAGATGTCATGAGCCCTGTCCAAACTGAACATCTTGTGTAGACAACAGCTTGAAATGCCTCTTTCCCACTTTACAGTCCCAGTTTAGAGACAAATAAGGAGACAGTCAAATGCAGATCAAAATCCTCTTTTGAATACTCTGCCTCTTGTAATACTTCTGCTTTTTCAGAAGCAGGTATTGGATAAAACTGCTCAGGCACAGCCTTCAGTCAGAAGTAGGAGCCAAATTATTAATTTACTTCTTCTGATTCTAATTACATTCTACCTCCAGACATGTAATCAGGCTTTTATTCACCTAACTGCTTTATTCTCTAACTAGCAATTCATCTGAAGAGGTTTTCCTGCAGGATTTTCACTGTAAGGATCTTTTTTTTTGTGATAGAGAAGGAATTCACTGCTTCAGTGCAACACTTTTGCTCATTAAAAATAATTTCTCAGCGAGTTTAGTTGCAGTAGCTCTTCAGTCATATTAGAGACCCTGTTGCAGCATTAGTTCCAGAGAACATGCTAAAGATCAGCAGGGAAAATGAAAGGGAAAGAAGGAAACAAGAGGCAGGAAGGACAAGAGAGATTGCTGCAAATTATAAGCAAGCCCAGACATGCTGGTGCTCACTGGGGTATTGATTCAACCAGCCCTTTGAAATGTGTTTGACCATAAAGTCAGTTTGTACCCTCAAAGGAATTTCTCACCTACTCACAAATACAGTTCTCTATGTATTTTCTCTCTTACCTCACTCTCTTCCTGGCTCCCTTCCCCCTTACATCATCCCTGGCTTTTTACCTTTACTACCATGTCTTCTGTGCTCACTAGAGATGCTTTGAAGCTTGCTTTCACAACATAGACTCATTCCTATCTTTAGGGAAATGTGCTACAGAGAGAGCAGGGAAATGTGCTACAGAAAGAGCTGTAGTTTATATCAGCAAATTCGCTAACACAAGCACATCACCCCAGAGAGATGGCATGTTCAGCTGCCAGTGAGTTTACTGCAGCTCCTTTGCTTTTGGAGCAGACAACTCCCTCCTCAGGAAGTTTTGTGTGTGCATGTGTTTTGTGGGGCAGCCCTGCAGCAGCCTGTTCCGTTACAGTATGTAATATTAATTGACAACTTTCAGTGTAGCTCCTGGTTTTCAACTAAGTAAGAGAACTGGCACTGTCTGGAGATGAAGAAAGATTATTTCAAGACACAAAGAATGTTAATCTCCCTTCTTCTGACTTAAGTACAAGCACCAGTCAATAATTATTTCTAATATACCAGGTAAATAATGACTCACATTATTCAGTGAAGCATCAGCTTAGGCAAATACAGAAAGTAGCAGTGTACTACTTTTCATTCAGTGGGCCAATTTCACCTCCAAAGTAAGTCAAAAGCCTTCCTGAAGCTCTTAATCAGTTGAATACAGCTTTGTTTTAATAAAATCAACATAGAGTTCCCTTAGTATAAAAGTGCTAATCACTGCAGGTAATTCATGATTGTACAATGATATCTACTTTTCTTTAAGCAGCAGAACAAGGAGGAGTGTGGTAGCCTCCTGGACACAGGAAAAATAATGTGACTCTTCAGCCTAAGGGAACATATTAAAAGATCAAACAAGAAACTACTGTATTTGTTTAGAGAGGGAATATTGCTCTAACCTAAAGAGTCAATATGCCAGAAACCACCCTGTCTGAGGTGAAACGAGACATAAAGCTACCAGGAGTGTTCTTCAGGGGGGCAACCAGTGCTGCAGAAGGAATTAACTAGTTGTGATTTTGTAGACCTTTTCCATCTTTAGTCTCATTGAAAAGAGCTGTCATGGTCATTGTGGCCATGTAATCTCCTAGGAAGACAAGGGAATATAAATTTGGGCCTCCAGGCTTCAGAGGGTCATGTCAGTGTTAACTACTGACTTCTTTGTACCTCTGCTGCATCTCAGGAGTTCTTTGATTCACTTCTAGCTTCCTGCTTCTGGCACTGGTAGGTGAGAAATGGCCCTTCTACCTGCTTTTAAGCCCTGGGAAAATTCTGCAGTCTGTTTTATCTCTATTATCTGTTCAGCTGGTGTAATTGGGTTGTTTCAGGATGGATGAAGCCAGAACTGAGAAATAGGTTTCCATGAGTTACTGAAAGGAGAAAATGTAAACAAAATCTAAGACTTGAAGTTAAAATCTTAGACACTTCCCTCTCTTCCAAAATCTCATCTGTAACACGTCAGCAAAACAGATGGTGTAGGAGCACAAAAACATATTGAGAGACTGTCCTCCTCAGAGTGGTCCAAAAGTGATGATGATAATGCCTAGAGAGCATCTTTCGCCAAGAAGGGGAAGAAGTAGTTTTTCCATTCAAAAAAAATGGAATTTAAGCAAAGAGAATGTGAAATGAGGAGGCCAGCATCAAACAGCAGAGGCTGAACTGAACTTATAAACAGATTTTCTAGATGTCAGGCTAGTACCCTCTCCCAGAAGGTGTGCTTAATAAAGCACTTAAAAGAAAAATCAGGAAACTGTTATACAGAAAAAACAACTCCACAGAACTGTGGAAAAAAGCCAGAAAGGATGCACTGGAACTTCCTTTTTCTAAACAATTAATGGGACTACTGCTGGCCCTTGTATATGCAAGAATATATGAATACCTGAAGAGAAACAAGCACAAACTGGCAGCACCGGTATAAGAAAAAGCCTCAAAAGCATCTGTCACTCTTACCTCTCCTTTATTGAGTGCAATATGTGGTTTCCAGCGAGACTTGCCAAAAACAAATAAATCACCAGGCCATGGGGTAACCATTGTACACTAGCCCAAATTCAAATTGTCTGACTTTTTTTACCTGAGGCAGCATAGTTAGTATCACAATCATGCTGGCCAGGACTCATCCATCATCACTTAGGCCCTTACATCCCAGAGAGTTAATTAGATTTCCTTCAGAGTCAATGATGGCATTTCCAAGGCTGAATTCACCTGGTGTCATTTAGATGTCCATTTTAGAAAATGGGGAGAGAGATACCAAGTTCACATCCTCCCATGCTGAACCTCCAAATTTGAAATGCATATCAGCAAACAGATAAATACACATCCTTTACTGAACTGACTCTTAGTCAAATAGATAAGAACAGAGGATTGAGACAGATTCACATAAAATTCAAGTAGTAAGAGCTAAAATGAAAGGTTACAGGAAGTCCTCTGTAGGACTTCCCCTTCAAAGGGAAAGCTTGTGTGCCACAAAGACCAGCAATGGTAATATACTCCACTAGACACATTTCCCTGTTTTGATGCATACTGCCAGGAGGAAAATGGTAAGACTCAATACTGTGCTCCACCAGGATGTTTGCTACAAAATTTAGCGTATACACAAGGTGGGTAATGCAATAGGTCAGCATAGAGACTGGTTATTAAGTTCAATTCTGCAAATGACTGCAAATCAAGACTAATTAACTAAAAGTTAAATGACTGCAAATCAAGACTAATTCCAACAAGAGATCATCAGAACTCCAGCACTCAGACTTCAGCCAGTATAAGTTTTAAGCCAGTATTTACTCTGATGGCAGGGGCTTAGTTTGGTAAAAGGAGCTCTTTCTCATGAATTCAATGAAGACAAGGCTGTTAGCAGTGACTAATCAGAACAGTCTCTTAGGAAGAAGGAGAGCTTAATTACCTTAGTGCTCTACTCCGTGACTTTCCTAGACATACCACACACTGAAAGATACGTGACAATGTGGGTGCCAGGGTTTATATCATCATAAGTTTGGGACATCCATACTAGTCATGAGTTTGATTCCTGTTTCCCTCTTTTCTGAAGTGCATTAGCTACTATGGAAACGGTATCATTAGAATGGGCAGGGATTTCTGACACCAAGATGAACCCCATGCTTATGCTAAACGATATATCTTCTATGCAAAGCTCTAGCTAAATCTAACCTTGGCACATTAACTAACCCAGGTCCCTCATACACAATCTGAAGTACATTTCTATACAAAGGAGGTAATTCACAAAAGCTTTGTAGTTTTTTCCTACTCTTTCCCACTTTTGTCTGGTGGTGGACTTCTTGTACCCTATAATGTCATGAAAGCAGCAAACTGCACAACACATAGCTGCAATGATTGGCAATGTGATATTTAGTTAAGGTTGAGGAATACTTCCATGTTCCAGAAAGACTAGAATCCCTCTGCTGAATTACAACCGCAATGTAATTAATTTAATTTTTATGCTTCCTGAAATTCTCCTTTTGAAGATGCTGCAAGAGATGCTACCCCAGTTGTATCAAGAGACATACAGAGAAGCCAGAATTTTACATCCTCATGTTTAACGCTACTTACCAAAAGACTAAGACATAAACACAATGAAAACCTGTCTTTAAAAAAAAAAAGGAATAAGGGAAAAAAAAAGAAAGGCAGTTCTCTTTAATTAAGAGGCCTATCAAATCCCATAAGCTGACTGAAAATTTTTATAGGGGAACAATGAAACAAGAAATTCTCGGCTCAATCAGATCAATGGCTCATCTGTTTCTGTATCTAAACGTGACAACTGCCAAATGTTTCGAACAATTCCCTTTCTGCTACTGCCATTCATTTCACTGCTATTGCACTATAA